CGGAAACACTGCCTTTGGGCACTTAGGTGACTCAGTATGCAGCAACCAGCCAGCATCTGGCTTTACTGGGGTTTCAGCGGTTCTCACTAGGGCCATTACGAGAACCAGTAAATGGGGGTCTCTTCACGGAGTGGATATTACACAGCAGAGACAATGTATGACCTACAACAGTCTGTGATGTTGCAGAGGGAGATGGAAATCTAATTGGGAATGAATACAAGTTCCAGAAGATTGCTAACCACAGAATTAGCTTTTCATAAAGTTAAAACCCACGAAAATTAAATACTGTATCTCTTGGGGATGTATGTGGCCCACAGGAAGCAGGAGATTTGGGAGGGCGGTTGCCTCAGGCTGGGGAGGCAGGGGGACGGGATGGAGGAAGAGAGTGCAGGCAGTCACATCAGTGTGTCCGAGATCATGTAGGGTCCATGGGGGTTTCCTACACAAATTGACTTCTAAAAATTAACATCAGAGCTGAGTGTGCGCCACGAAGTGAGGACTGAATTATCCAGTCTCTGAGGTCCAAAGACGGAAGGGAGGGGCTAGGGGCGCCTGGGTGGCTCAGTCGTTAAGCGTCTGCCTTCCAGCTCAGGTCATGGTCCCAGGGTCCTGGGATCAAGCCCCGCATCGGGCTCCCTGCTCGGCGGGAAGCCTGCTTCTCCCTCTCCCACGCCCCCTGCTTGTGTTCCCTCTCTCATTGTGTCTCTCTGTCAAATAAATAAATAAAATCTTAAAAAGGCGGGGAGGGGTGAGAAAAGGGCTCAGCTCTGCAGTGGAGGGAGCCCCTTCTTCACACATATAAAATGGTAACACTCCCTTCCCTGGACCCCAGTGTCTCACACAGACACTCAAACACTGGAGCTGAAGAGGGGCTTCCAGATTCCCAAAGAAGTCCTGCCAAAAAAATTAAGAAAACAGGAGACAACAAATGTTGGTGAGGATGTGGAGAAAGGGGAACCCTCTTACACTGTTGGTGGGAATGCAAGCTAGTGCAGCCACTCTGGAAAACAGTATGAAGGTTCCTCAAGATGTTAAAAATACAACTACTCTATGACCCAGCAATTGCACTACTAGGTATTTACCCCAAAGACACAGATGTAGTGAAAAGAAGGGCCATATGCACCCCAATGTTCATAGCAGCAATGTCCGCAATAGCCAAACTGTGG